TCGATACCCTAGAACTCGAGCGCGTTCCTCTGTCGATTCCAGTTGCGTTGCACGCGCTTGACTGGGCACAACTGACAACCTTGACAATCTTTCGTTGTGAGAGCCACGAAAAGCTTTGGAGAGCGCTGCGCCGGCAATTTTCCCCGTCTGTGTCGTCACGCTCGAAACACAGTAGACGTGAAGGTGATCAGAGTGCCTCTGAGTATCGCTTGAACCTCAGGCATATCCACACGGATGCTGTGTCGCCATATCTGCTGCTGTTTATCAAGGATACACTTGCGCCCAACACGCTGCAAACCCTATTCCTACATGAGGCACCGATGTATGACTCGATCGTCCATATCGATGCCATCTACAAGAACGCTATTAAGACCCATCATCTCAGCCTGCAAAAGATATTGGTCGATAGCACCCATCGGGCACCGGGGGGAAGCGAAATGCACAGTGTGCGGTGGTGCAAGTGGATGTTCACTCGCCAGATGCTCACATTTCTCAGCAGCGGACGTATGCCACGGCTGCGGGAGCTCTCTATAGCTCTGCACTCAAAGGACTGGGTAAGTACCAAGCGACCTCCTTATTTCTTGTACTAACGTCAGCAGCACTATTTCCTTCAAAGGCTACCGTATATGCCTCAGCTTCGCGCGCTCCATATCCCACTTATCGCTCGGCCGGCTCACCGAGACCCGAAAGAACTGGCGATGATGATCCTGGATATTGTGACTATCCGTCCGGAGGTGGGCATCACCTATGTAGGAATACAAGATAAATGTTACGAGATCTTGGAGGCAAAAGAAGGCGACGCCGGAGAGTTCTATGACACAGACGACAGCCATAGCGAGGGGTTCGTACCTGGGGGCGAGGAGTGGGCAGGATCAGACACAAACGAGGATGAATCTGACGACGACGGCGGGGTCAGCGCGATGGACTCGCACTCGGACCTCTCGTCAGACGACAGGATATCGTCAGACGGGGAGGGTTCTGAAATGGATTACAACAAGTCTCGAGTATCGTATCGGCTGCGAGAGATCTTGTTCTACGATGACAAGATCGCCATCTTCAAGGCGCGACATGGCGTTTTGTAAATTCCGGTTCCTTGGCGGGCGTTGGTGACATGTTCGGACTTTCTACAAGATACCATGAAGCGATTTCGGTTGGAACATTGTTAGCTAATCTAGGCATGTTAGCGATATTGGCTAGTCTTGTGCAATTAAAGCATACTGGGACGATACAAGACATCCTGCCTTGTATTTCGTAGACGGTCACGTGCCAGGGCGGTCAACCAAGCTCAGCCTCTGAGAGCCGCGATGTCGACAAGCGACCTCAACTCGACCCTGACGAAGCCGGCTAGTATTCGACTCGCCCAACCCATTTTCCCCATTTCAATACCCTGATTGAGTGCCTTTGCGCGTAAATCCACAACCATGAAGCTCGTCCGGTAAGCCAGCAGCTCCAGAGCGCCCGACGCAGCTCGTGCCCGCGAAGATTGCACAGCGACTAATTCCAATCCTCTGCACAGGTTTCTGATGAAGTGCGCCAACGAGACGGTGACGATTGAGCTGAAGAATGGTGAGTTTGACCCTCCCTCCCTTCAGGGCTTGAAGATCAGTGCCCTCAATACTCGTGAACCATCAACTCTGACCGAAATAGGCACCATCCTCCACGGCACCATCACCTCCGTCTCCCCCCAGATGAACACCTCCCTCCGCACGGTCAAAATGACCCCCAAAGGCCGCGACCCTATTTCCCTCGATACCATCAACATCCGTGGCTCCACGATCCGCTACTACATCCTGCCCGATAGTCTGCCCCTCGACACGCTGCTGATCGACGACACGCCCAAGCCCAAGAACAAGGCGCGCAAGGAAGCCGACCGCGGAGGCCGTGGTGGTCGTGGTGGTCCTCGTGGTAGAGGGCGCGGTCGTGGCCGTGGTCGTGGTCGTGGATTCTAAGCTGGATGGGATTGGTATTAGACATTGCGATTTCATTTTTACTACTACAACTACTTGAGGATCGGAGTTCTTTTTTCTTCTGTTTCTTTTGTTTCTTTTTGTGACTCTTTTTTTATCTCTTGTCTATCCTATGGCTGGGTGATTGATTTTGCGCTGAATGGGTTCGACATGATACTTGGTCTGGTTCTGGGTGTGAGGGGATAAGCTGGACCAGGAAAATGGGTGAGAAAAGCGGCGGTGATTTACGAGGTCTGCTGTGCTGGGTTGAGTTGCGCGGTGGATTGTCGGGTCTAATTTATTTATTAGACTCGAGACGAAACTGCAAGGCAGGTCGGTTGTGTCGATGAATGACCGAGCCGAGTCGAATCGAATCTACTCGAGATCGAGAAGAGAAGAGTAGTAGTTTACTCTACTGTATATCTATCTAATCAGTGGCCGCGACACAAACACACGAAGAAGAACAAAAAAATATACACACTTCATAGTATGAAGTGTTGTCAGAAATCAATCATACCCTCGTCTATCATCATCGTCATCATCACTCATTAGTCTATCATCTATTTTCCCAGTAGAGTTTATAAATCCCACCTATACACAACCTAACCCCCTAAGAAGAAGAAGTGAACTCCCTCCAAACCCTCACAATAACCAACTTCTCCCACCCCGCCTGCACCCCACTACTCCCAACCAACTCAGCACACCACTTCCCTCCCTCCAAATCCCCATCCCAACCCATGATTCTCTCCACCACCTCCCTCGGCCGATTCTGCGCACAAAGCAACACATACGCCACGCCCCTCTCACTCAACACCCTCGGAATATCCGCCAACAACCTCTCCGTAATCTCCATCCCATCTTTGCCCCCCGCATACGTCAACGAGAGAAAATACGACTCTCTCTCGAACTTTTCACTCCTCGACATGCCCCCTTCCTTATCTCCTTCATCATTATCCTCCTTACTAGGTAACCGCGGTAACTCCGGCGTAGGCACATACGGCGGATTAAACAGCAGGATATCGATCGAGTGAGGACGGATCGGGGAGGCGAGGTCGGAGGTAAGTGTTGAGGAGATGAGGGATTTGATTTGAGAGGTTTTAGAATCATCTGTAGATGTTGATTGGGTATTCTGGGATTGTTGTTGCTGCTCCTCAATCGCCTTCAAAACTGTCTGTCTCGTCGCAAGACATGCATTGCGGTTAACGTCCGTGCCGAGGGCAAGGACATCAGTGCGGCCGAGGATATGGTGGGAGTTTGCGGTGAGGAAGGCGAGGACGACGCCGGAGCCGGTACCGACTTCGAGGAGGAGCGGGGAGGGCGAGGATGTTGATGGGGAGAAGTGGTTCGTGAGCCAGGCGGATTCGCTGGATGAGGAGAGGGTGTCTAGGAAGAGGTAGGAGTCTTCGGAGGGTTCGTAGATGGTGTCGAAGGAGACGTGGGAGGTGCAGGGGGTGGGGAGCATTTTTTATCCCTTATGTGACTATTTCCGTCTTCTGTTTCTTTTTCATGGGTGGATTGGAAGAAATCAGGGAATTGGTATATGGTGGGATGATAATGGGTTAGTTAGTTGAAAAGAATATTGTATCGATTGAAACTCCGATGAACGAACCAATCATAGCCTCCCAAAAACGGAGTGCTGGTTGCTTTGCTTCTCCGCCTTGGAGGGATCCGCGGCAGTAATCGCATTTCATCATTCATTCATTCATTCCATCATTCCCGCCGACTTCGTCTACTTACAATTGTCACTTTACCTCCCACATTAACAGATCAGGAAAATAAGAAAGAAAAGAAAAAAAAGATCAGCATGTCCCAATTCCTCCGCTTCACCCCCACGGCCGCCCGCCGTCTCGCCACGCCATCCACCTTCGGCTCCAAATCCAGCCTTTCCGAGACCTTGGCCCTGCTCCCGCCGCTGCAGCTCTACCGTCGCATTCTCCGCGTTCACCGCAAGAAACTTGACCCCGAGATGCGGATTCTGGGTGATGGATATGTGAAGAGTGAATTCCGGGCTCATCGGAATGTGGACAATCCGTTGCATATTGTACATCCCCATCCCATCCCATCTTACTATGACGCATGTTGAGTGTATGGATTGCTAATTGCTGTGGTGGTAGATTGGTTTTCTTACAGAATGGCAATTATATGCGCAGAAGTTGGAGGGAGATGCGTGGATTGGGGAGAAGTTGGATAAGAGTAAATTGGATAAGATGAGTGGTGAGTTACTACTTCCCTTCAGTTGGTAGAGGGTGGTATGTGCTAAGTGGGAGATAGATCAGCAGATCGGGCAGTTGTATGAGCTTATGCAGGCGATTCAGAATAAGGATGGGGAGGGGGAGGGGGAGGGGGAGAAGCAATGATTGATGAGGTTATTGCAGGGGAGGTAGGTCTAGAAAACATGGGAAGAAGTAAAGATGGGATACCCGGATTGTATGATATGGATGAAGTCAGTGGATTGTGTAGATTATGTATATAGAGGTTAATGAGAGTGTTGTAGAGACTGCAATGATGAGGATCAACGGTATATAGTAGGAATGAAACGAACTAAATATAGGATTAACCTGCAATTACTGTGAATGACACACAAAGTACCAAGTACAGCATGTCAGGATATACTCAGAATAGCATGTCACCTATATTAGAGGTCATAAACCTACTGAACGATGAGATATAAAGGCGCTGCCATAGACCATAGAATAACTGCTCTGCCACAGAACAACCGGAAAACCACCCGAAGTATCCGATTTCCGAGATCGGGACTGATAAGCCAAATCGACATGCAGTTATGCAGATATGCATGTCCTAACCCTCATGACAGACTGGGTATTAAACACAGAATATAGTAAAATAGACATCAATTGATAGCCATTCCCCAATGACAATCAACCAATCCATTCTATACTACATAGTACATACCACTCGCCACACAAACCCTCAATCCATGGCAATATATGGTACAAACCCCCCCCCCATTCCACTGCCCCACCGTGCCTGAAAAGAAAAGAATCAAACAGTCAATCAATCCATCCCATTCCAATCTCATACTAAAAATCTTATGCACGCCCTACCGTCGACATCTCTATCTCCATTCCCCACACACCAGACCTAAACCATATAACCCAAATGACCCCCTCACTAACTCACCATCCCCCTCTCTCTTCTTCCCTTACCACCTCAATCTCACCACCACACTGGGTTCCCCCCATATACACAACTAGCACCACCTCCCCCATATTCTCATAGAGATCAACGAGAACGAGAAAATGCCCTCCCTCCTCGAAGACCCCACCACCCACATCCCCCCACCAACCCCCAACTCATCCTCCCTCCAACCCATCTCCCGCACCCTCCGCGACAACACCCGCATCACTCTCTACCCCATAACCACGGGGCCCGACTCCCTCCCCTCTTCTCTCCTCCACTACCTACACAGGGAATTCTCCGAAGAGATTCTCAAAGGTTGTACCTATCCCATGGAATCCCCCCTCGAGTATGACCTGTACCGGACGTATTGGTTTGGGACGTTTGCAGTGGTTGCTGTTGTCGATGATGGTGAAGGGGATGGGTTGAGGGAGGGGAGGGATTGGGAGAGCGTTTGTCTGGGGACGTTTTATGTGAAGCCGAATTACCCGGGTATTTCTCTTTCTTTCTCTCTCACTTATTCATTGTTTATTTGATTTGATTTGTGTGGCGGATTTGGGGATATGCTAATGAGACTGGTGTAGGACGCTGCTCGCATGTTTGTAATGCCGGGTTCTTTACGACTCCCGCGGCCAGGAATCGTGGTGTTGGGAGGGTTATGGGGGAGGTTTATTTGGAGGTGGCGCCGAAACTGGTACGTTTTTTTTTTTTTTTTTTTTTTTTTTTGCTTTGTGTTCTTTGGAGAAAGAGGGGGGGGGGGGGTCTGGGTGGGTGCTAATTCTGGCTAGGGATATAAATACTCCGTGTTTAACCTCGTCTTTGAGAATAATGTTGCTTCGGTCAAGATCTGGGAGAATCTGGGATTTCAGGTTATTGGTCGTGTGCCGGGTGCTGCGCGTCTGGCAAATAGTCCTGATCTCGTTGATGCGCTTATCATTGGGAGATCCTTGGTATAATCAAAACGAAAATAAAATAATATACATATATAATATAAAGTGTATTGCAATTAAACCATACCCCAATACATGAAGTCGCTCCCTTCAATCAATGAAATACTCCTAAATCAATGCGAGTGGGGAATCAATCTAACAACCGGCTTCAAGCAATCTGGTATCTGACACCACTGGCTCCCGAACCGCAATGCCAATATGCATAGTACATGAGTGTGTGTGTGAAGTTAATGCGAGATCGAACAACGGAAATGCTAGAAATCAAAGACCCCCGGAAATGCTATGTCACATAGTATGGTATCTTCCCGATTTACCGCCATGGCGGCCGCTCTCCGAGCTTGCTGCGAGGCGTCAGGTTGTTCTTCGGCAATGGGATCAGGCTGATCCGCCGGTTCGCGGAATGCCCCAGCGCGGTGCCCGGCCGCGGCGTCTTCGTCGGACTGGCAATGTTTCGTTCGTGGTCATGCGACACACTGCGGCTGAACGACAGCCCCGCAAAGCTCTGTCGGCTGCGCGGCGCGTTCGACATGCCGTCTGGCCGCCGGAGCTTGCTGTAAGGAGGAGGGTCGAGGATAGACCGATTAGGTGTAGGGGAGCCCATGCGCTCTGGGCTGCGATTCGTCAGTCGGCTGGAAACACGACTCATAGAGCGCGCCGTCATCGGTGCCGGAGAGACCGACATGTCGCGCCGGAACGGTCCCATGGGTATAGTCGACGAGGGCCGTGATGTGCGGCCAGGAGCAGAGGGCTTGCGAGGGGTAGGATTGGGTTTGTACACGTGGCCGACATATAGGTCGTTCGTGTTGGTGCTGTTGGTCCAGCGCGGCCGATTGGGAATGGGTGACGGCGCCGGCTTGACAGGCTTACGCGCAGCAGGGGTAGGTGTGGCGGCGCCCATCCGACTCGGTGACGGCGCAGTGAGCGAAGGCTTCGGGAGAGACGACTTCTTGCTGGTCAGCGCGGCCGTCGCCTGCGGGATGCCCGAGTACCGTCGCATCTTGGACATTGTCGTCCGCGCTGCTGAGCTGACCGAGCTGCCACGTCGACTAGACGTTCCCATAGGCGTCGCAGAGCCCTTGAGAGGGTTGGCGGGCGTCATCACCACTGACGATGCCGGAGAACTTCCTGGAGTATCGGCGACACTGCCGGTCAGAGGACTGTCCATCGTCATGATACTCGAGATTGAGTCCCGGAGATGCTGTGATCGGACAAAGTTAATGTCCTCCAGCCACTCATCCATCACCCGGACACTCGCCTTCAGGGCGTCGATTCTTGACGTCATGTCCGACAGCAGTCGCAGAATCTCTCCGTTCACCGTCAGTCGGTCATCGACACCCTTGCGAATAATCGACACTACCCGCTCAATCGCTGCCACATAGTGCTGCTTCTTGGCCTCGTAGCTTTCAATACGTTTCGTAAACAACGTTGTATCGTGCAGATGGGCGCATGTCTCGATGGCCTCCTGCAGTTTTGCGATGCTGCGTTCCACCGAGTCGAACATTTTCTGCGCCTGTCCACCCGCGTTACGGAAGACGAGGATCCACCGGTCTTCGTTGAGCTCTTTCTGCAGCGCATCTGCATCCTGCTCTAGCTTTTGAAAGCTCTGTTCAAGATGGCCCCGCCGCTCCTCGAGCTCCTCACACGCGCTGGGAAAGATCCTCTCAGCCCGCGCTTGGAACATGGACATTCTCATCGGCAAGAAATCAAGCGACGCTCGCAACGGTTGTATTCGTGCGAACAGCGCGATGAGGTTCGAGTGATTCGTGTCATCATGTGGCGTCTGAATAACCGGCATGTCCATCGTCGGTGGCCCGGTAAGGATGGGATCTATACTGAGTCGTTTGCTGGACAGCAGTTGCGCCTGGGATGGGGTCTCTTCCACGATGGTCTCCAGCTCATTGATGTCGAGCCCAGAGGCGCTAGAGTCCTGCTCGCCTGCCAGCGTCCAGTGCCGTTTCTCTTCCATCTCGAAGATCAGCCCGGTGAGACTCTCTACCTCCACCGTCACATCGCCCAAGACGTTCCCCCACAGCTCTTCCCACTCCATTGCCAGCTCAACCTGTCCTTTGACTCCCCGGAGTCGATTCTTGATGTTGGCCCAGCTTTGTATGATCGTGTCCATCTGCACGACGATCGTCTGGAGGCTATCGGTACTCACGTCGCCAATATCCTCGCGTAGCTGCACTTCCTCGATCGCCCTGACGTAGACGTTGATCAGGCTCTCGAACCGGATGATCGCCTTGTCCACCCCCTCCAGACCTTCTCGTCCGGCCGCAGCTGCCCACTCCACGTCATCTTCTGCATCCAACCCCCCTAGCACATCCGAGGCCTTCTTGACCCATATTTGAATTTGCTCTGCCGCTCCGGTGAGCGCCCGAACCGCCGCAGGGGCGGTTGCAATGGATGAGATACTAGCCTCGAGCGACGACGGTTGCGGAAGGGGGATGGACGTCAGCTGGGAGAGTTGGTTGCTAAATGAGGCGCGAGAAAATGAGTAGATGGACTCCGTGCGCTGCAACCCCTGGGGGTTGAAGTAGGATTGTGAGCTTAGGGAAGTGGTCGATCGTGGGCGCGGAGAGTCTTTTGGCGGTGGCGGGGGTGGATTCGAATCGTCTTCATTGGTGCTCTGTATGTACTTCTCAAAGTCTGTCTGCTCGGGGACGTCAGGTAGGGGCGCTGGCCTAGGCTCTAATGGCGCCGGAGCATGCTGAACGACAGACATGTCGGTTTGGGGCTCTTCCAGAGTAGCCTCTACCTCAACGGCCTCGTCAGCAACGTCTTCTGCACTTTCTTCCACAAGTTCTTCTGCAACGCCTTGCTCCGCAACAGCGTCTTCTTCGAAAGGGTCTTCCTCGATAACGTCTTCCCCAGCAGCCTCAACCTTCACAGCCTCTTCAGGCTCTTCGGCCTCTTCTGACAGCGGAACCTCTTCTTCCAGCCCTTGATCCGGAGGCAGATCCAGGGGACGATCCGAGTCGGGTGTCGGTACTTCCCCCCACTCCTCTGGGGTTGCTTCCGGTAGCTGCGGTTCGGGGACCTCTAAGTGGCCGGAATCACTTTCGTGGGATTTCCTATCTTTGTGTAGCCGAGGCAGAGCATTCCATGAGCGACCTTTCTTTTCGATCTTGATAGATTTGGATAAATCCTGATGCGTCTTGTCGAGTTCTTTGATTTGTTCCTCGGGAATCCGACCGACAGCACCGGGGTTGCGAGAGGGACTATTGTGTTTGTTACTACCGTCTAGTAACTTGACGCGGGCAGCCAGGCCGGGGGACAAGCGACGGAGAATTGACGGGCGGACAAGAGTCTTGTCGAAGCCGAGGTCGTGTTGTTGGTTATCGTCGGGTTCACTGCTACTGCCCAAGCTGCGGAGGCTTCGTAGGGACGACTTGGGCTTGATTCGTCGCGGTATTGACTGGTCGACATGGGAGATAGACAGGGCGGGTGGAGGAGGAGGAGGAGGGGAGGAGAAGAACTGCGACGTGGACAGGTTGGCCCCGGCATCCGGGGGGTGGGTGGTCGCAGTGGTAGCCGTTGACGCGGTGGACATGGCACGCATGGATGCGATCCACGAGGGGGGATGGGCGCTGGCCTGTAGGATGCCAGGAACTAGTGTGTTTAGTGAAGAACGACGGTGGGTAGAGGAATGTGGTTGATGGGCTGAGGATGCGCCAACGCTGCGGCCGGGCTATGTCAGCTAGTATGTGCTTGGGTAGTAAGTAGAAAGTAGTGTAGTTTGCGTTCCGTTCCCTGTCCGTCTGCTGCTGCCCCTATCCGGTTTCAGCCTGTCAGATAATAAGAATGGAGTAATCGGGCTGTGAATGTGTAGGCGGTCGGGCTACACCGTCTGTGCTCTTTGCTTGTCTTTCTTTGCTTTTTGTCTCTTTTTTTTTCTCCAACACCAAGGTAAGAAGAACTGCTTTTTGACAAAAATGACTGACTACATGATAGACGATTGGGCAGCAGAGGGGCGGACATAGCAAGGGAAAGAAGAGGGAGGGAGAGAGAGAGAAGAAGGAGGTCAAGCCAGTTGGAATGAAGGATAAGCGGCAACCTGTCCCTTTCGGGCTCTCAGGCGAGCAGCCGATCACCCGTTTGGGGGGAGGAAATAGTAAGGAATAACCGGGGGATAATCCCCTCAGTCTCCCTTTCAATCGTCAGTAAACTCTATCCTCAAGGGAATGGTAAATAACCAAATTGACTTTGGCCTGACCGTTACACCAGTCCGGTCTCTTGGGTTATTTTCCCTGTCTTCATCTCCTTGGATCTTTCTTCCTCCCGTCTGAGTGGCGTTCGGTTGGTTGGTTTACTTTGTTTGTATGGTTCTCGTCTCGAAACATGGCATTCTCGCTACCAGCCAGCCATTCCTATGTACACTTCCATCCATGGATCCCTCCCGCGACCCCGTGCAGGATAGATTAAGAAAAATGATCGGACAAGATAAGGAAAAAGAAAAAAAAAAAGAGACAGAAAGGTGTGCTCTGCACCGAACACAACAGTCCCATGGACTGTAGATGACCAAAAGTTGAATTTATACGCTTCTCCCAGCCTGACGTGGCTGGGAGGACAGCAGAAGAAATGAGGAGTGACACCAAAAATAATTCAAATCCAACTGCACTCCGACAAGTAAGGGGTATCAATGAGCGTCGGAGTAGACAGCAAACAAACGCAATAACCAGTCGCCATACGTGGTCCCAATCAGTTTCAACCAGTCCCAATCATTACAACTCTCCTTTCCTCCCTCTCCAGCGAAGTTGTTAGTTACTCATGTAGACCCTTTCTTTTCCCAAGTTCCCCCTCACATAGGCCGTACCACCAGATCGTCGGGTGGAAGGCTCGCTGCTGAAGCTCGCCTCTCGCGCCAGTCTCGGACGAGCTCCTCGCGCACCACTTTACACCAGGCCAGAAGAGCCTGGTCGAACTGTCTCCAGGCCTCTTCACTGTTGCCATGCACAATCCCCATCACATCCATCTCCAACTTCGTCTCCCACCGGAGCTCCGCCGCC